CACAGACTAGAGCCACAAAGGGGCTCAGACGTGTCAGGTACGTTTACGAGGGGATAATCTCCTAGCTAAGTTACGTGGTTTCTGAATTTAGTGAGGGGTGAAATCCCTAGCTGTTTGTGTCAGATATTTGCGAGGGGTTAAGCCCCTAGCCAACTGTCCCACGTTTTAGAATTTGCGAGGGGTTTAACCCCTAGCCATAATTATAATATTTTTTTATAATTTATAATTATATTATTTTAATTATATTCTTATAATTAGAATAATAATATAATTATATAATAAATTTATATTAAATTTTATAATTATATTATTATAGTTAGAATAATATATATACTATTATAAATTTATTTTTAAAATCTGTTTTCTAATAAAATCTAAATATAATATAATTATTTTAAATCTGTTTTATAAATATTTTAATAAACTGTTTTATAATATTGTATTATAAATCTATTTCTAAAATCTGTTTTTAAAATCTGTTTTATAATATAAATTAAATGTAATATAATTATTTTTATAATATAATATGTTCAACAAAATATATTTTCTTTATAATGTAAAAGAGAATAAAAATATAATATAATCATGTTTCTTATATTTTCTTTATATTTTCTTTACAATACACTCTTTTATATTACATTGTAAATTAAATATAATATAATATAAACAAAATATATTTTTACAGTTTTATTTAATAATTATTTTAAAACTATTATATTATAAATCTGAAAAACTTAAAAAAATAAAAATAATATTTTCAAAAATAATATACGAAAAATATATACATAAATTTCAAAATAAAAAATAACTATACCAACATCAACCGTACATTTTCTTAGCAAAAATTTGATAACTTTATATATTATTCACAGTACATGTAACACAACAAATAAATAAATAAAATTAATTAATAAATTTAAACAATAAAATAAATTACAAATACGAAAATAATATAACATTAAAAATGCTTACTTTGAATTTTATGGAGTCAGACAAAAATGGTGGAAGATGAAAGGGGAAGAAGAAGAATGGAGGAAGAAAGGAGAAGAAGAAAAATGGAGGAAGAAAGAGAAGAAGAATGAGAAATAATGAATTCAATCTGCCAGATATAATTGGAAATCGTTGGACATTTATTACTGTCATTTGTGAGGGGTTGCCCCACGCGAATTCCAATGGTTACAATGATGTGGCATTGCTTGCGAGGGGATGCTCCACGCAGGCAGGGGATATGCAATTTGCGAAGGGATACCCTAGCCAGTGTTGGCGTGTTGCAGGTAATGTGGCAGCGGAATAAATGCCTTTGCAGGTGGATTCGACTAAAGTATGACAAATTGTGAGAGGAGGCTCCTCGCAAATTGTGAAGCATGACGTGATGAGGGGATGCCCCCTCGCAAATGTCCATGATTCCCACCAAATTTTGCGCTGACCCCTAGTAAAAGCATATTTCAAATTTCAAAAAAAACCCCTCCTTATTTGCGAGGGGTAATTTTATTCAATGAGACAATATGTAATTTTACAAGTACCTTTGACACTAAGATCTCTTTCTTTTCTTAGTTGGAACGTGGTTTACTTGTCTCTTAACAACACGGACGGATGGATTGATCCAAATTCTCTCGTTATGATCATTTCTAATATATGATTCGTCCGCTCTAATATTCTCATCTAGATCATCTATAATATAAGATTCCTTCTCAACATCAACATCCCCCTTGTCTCCAATGTTATCATCGATAACTTTGTTGGAAAAAAGAACTATAGACCATTTCGTACTTGTCGGATCAGTGACATAGAACACTTGTTTAGCTTGCGTCGCTAGAATAAAAGGCTCATCTTTGTACCCCACCTTATTAAGATCCACTTGCAAAAATCCTGACTTATCCATTCGTATGCCACTATTATTTTCAACCCACTTGCATCCAAAGATAGGAATCTGAAACTTTTCATAATCAAACACCAAAATGAGCTCGATAACACCAAAATGCGACAGATTCGCATATTTGGGGTTTAAGTCCTTCACACTTGAAATGTGCATTGCTTCGGCAAGCACGGTGACATTAATGCATTAATGCATCCACATCCACATTGGTTACAGTTTTCTTGTATTTCACACTCTTGACATATTTTATCCTAACATTAACTGTTCTTGTATGTCCACTCATCCATCTCAATATTCTCATCTATGCAAAATTTAGCTTATGCACTAGTTGGCACTTTCTGGCCCAACATACCATAAAACATTGTCAGAAGCTTACCCTAGAAAGATACATCTCTGCCAATAAAAACACAAATCCCATGCCTGTGTACATGTGAAAGGATGCCTAAAGCTATACTAAAACAAGAATCACAGACAGAAAGTTTGGATGAAATGTAGCTCAACCGTGGACCTCTTATAATCGTTGAACAAAATTATTTTCTTATACTATTTTGGTAAATTAAATGTTACTAAATTAGCAAGACTGTACAAAATGCAAATCTTCCCACATAATATTATTAATACTCAATATACCTGAGAAAAATTGACTATAACAGGAAGAATATGTGCCACACAATCTTGAGACTTCAACCATTTTCCAAGAGCTTCACAACCCTCAACAGCAAGAAGCCGAACAGAATCTTGATCTACAAGAACAAGAGTCAATAAGTTATTATTTTTATATACATATAGATAGATTCAGTAGGTTACTTCAAAAACAATTTGCTATTCAATAAATGAGCATAACAAACAAAAATTATATTCACTTAAACTGGTCGGCAAAATATACTAATAAACTGACAATGTCTTCAGTTACTAATAAGGATTAAGGAAAATAAATAAACTTCAAGATTAACAGAAACTTAAAGTTTTCATCTGAATCACAAATAGTGTGAAGCTTCTAAGGCAACATAATCTAAAAAACCATTGAACAAACAAAATTTATCAGAATACCAATTTCAAATAAGATTTGTAGGCAACAATAATGAAAATGCCCGCTTGAGAATTTCCTTTATTTAGTTAACGTTCCACTTGTTTGCCTCACTGGAATTAAATATATGTGAAGTATTTCCCTTATAAAAATTATTAGTAAAAAGAACTCATATAAGGTGTGGCATTTCAACAAACACCTTGTATACGGCTAGATATAATGAAAGCTAACATAAGTAAATTCATTGTGTCATTTCAACAAACACCTTGTATACGGCTAGATATAATGAAAGCTAACATAAGTAAATTCATTGTGTCATTTCAACAAACACCTTGTATACAAAACTCAAGCCAATATCAAAAGAGTAATTCTCATCAACGGTATCAACAAAAACAAGTCAATAACTCAGAAAAGAAGTAACACTAACATCATATAATCCAAAAAAATGAAATACTAAGACAATATTCAGAAAAATGCAAAATGAAAAACTTCAAATACCGTAACAATGGCAGAAATGCGCTACAGAGGCTGTCAAAAACGGACGGTCAAATGGAGGAGAAATGCAACACAGGCTGAACGGAGGTGGGCGACGGAGGCGCGGCAGTCGGACGGAGGAGGGCGACGGCCGGTCGTGGTGAATAGGGTTCTGGTTCGCAGAGAGGAGAAAGAAAGAATGAAGAACGTACGCGCGAGCTAGCTCTGTTATGTTTCTTTAAAAAATTCTGTGATATTTTAATTTAATTATAATAACACCTATGGCAGCGCTTTTTAATACCTACAACAGCGCTTCTAAAAGCGCTTTCTTTGAAAAACCATATAGCAGCGCTTTAGAAAGAAAGCGCTTTCTTTGGCACACCCTACAGCAGCGCTTTAGAAAAGCGCTTTCTTAGGACCAACCTACAGCAGCGCTTTACAAAAGCGTTGTCTTAGCCCATGCATTTAGCAGCGCTTTTTTAAAAGCGCTGTCTTAGGTATACTGTTTTTTTTTATTACTCTTTAGCAGCGCTTTTCCTAAAAGTGTTGTCTTTGTATGCGCTGCTAAAAGTCAATTCTGGCATAGTGTCTCTAGCTAACTGTTTTTATTTTATTTTATTTTATTTCTATTTTGTGTTTTGCGAGGGGTTTAACCATAAACAAATTGATTTGTCTTAGTGAAGGGTTTTCCCCCTAACTCATGCCCCTAACGAATTTCATGTTTTCTTTGTAGTGATATATATATATATATATATATATATATATATATATATATATATATATATATATATATATATATATATATATATATATATATATATATATATATATATATATATATATATATATATATATATATATATATATATATATATATATATATATATATATATATATATATATATATATATATATATATATATATATATATATATATATATATATATATATATATATATATATATATATATATATATATATATAACACCAAAAATAATAAGCCAAAGAAGTAGCAAACTAAAATCTAAAGGTGTGTTTGGTGAGCTAAAGGACTCAAACCCACCACTTGTGGCCTTTCTCAGGTGTAAGGAGGCAAAGAAATAAATAAGTTTTTTGTAGAAAGTTTTAGTCCTCTCTTAGAACTCTGTGACACACCATAAATAACCAATGTATGATGAAAGGTATTTCTCTCACAAAATTAGCTAGCTTCATGCTTTGTTAATTTTCCCCATCACAAGAATGACGAGTCCAGATTGCATTTATTCGTCTTTGTGATTCCTCTTCACAAGTCTGGTACATTTTTTAAGCATTTTCCTACTAGTTCACCATAACATTTTTTTCCCTTTTGCTAGGCTATTCTCAGAAGTAGAAAAAAAAAATTACATTGCTATTATTTGAATATTAAAATAGTGGGAATTCAAGAAGATGATTATTTTTTAAAACATATCAACAAATTTTATTTTATGTGCATTTATATCTAAATGGTTCTCCTGTGTGTGGTTTCTATATATGTAATGTTCTTATGGTTCTATATATGCACTCTCTTGTAATCACAGATACCATAAAAAATTAAGAGATAGTAAAATTCAAGAAGAAGAAGAAAAAGAACTAAACTCATGAGAGATGGCCCTTCAACACGATTCTTGGGTATTTGTTTTCGGCCTCCTAGGTATGTATGAATATTCTACAAGTGATTATAGCCTTAGTTTATTATATATTTTATATGTTTCACATTTCTATCTATTTTCACTTACTTCTTTTATTCCTTGATGGGTCATTTTATCACCCTTTGACACAATGCTACAAACAATAGAACTAACAAGAACAAATATATAGGTGGAAAAAAGATTCCGCGCCTTTAATTTACAATTCATTTAATTTGGTGATAAAATTAAATTAAGATTCCCTTTTTTATAATTTTTTATTTCAAATATCTTGGTTGATTTGATTATTTATATAAAAAAAAATATTTTATATCTCATTTAATAAAAAATATATATTCAATGTATATTTATAGGAAATGTCATCTCAGTGATGGTCTTCCTCGCTCCATTGTAAGTAGTTCTGATCATATAAGTTATTATCCATTTCAATATTTTCTTTAATTAAACTATTTATTAATTAATATTTGAATATGTAGACCAACATTTTACCAAATCTACAAGAAGAAATCTACTCAAGGGTTTCAATCAGTCCCTTATGTTGTTGCATTGCTCAGTGCAATGCTTTGGATTTATTATGCAATTGTCAAAAGGGAACATAGCCTCCTTCTCCTCACAATTAACTCATTTGGACTTGTGGTAGAATCAGTTTACATTGCAATTTTCCTAGTTTATGCATCAAATAAAGTCAGGGTATATACATATTCACCTATTCAAGGTTTTTATATAATGATTTTTAGGGTTTATAGTTTAGGGTTTTTTTAACTATTATTATTTTTGTTTTGAATGTGAAGCTTTCAACCTTCAAGCTTATTCTAGTATTGAATGTGTTTGGATTTGGAGCAATGCTTGTTTCAACCCTATGCCTAACAATGGGATCCAAACGTCTTTCTATTATTGGATGGATTTGTCTTGTTTTCAACATAACAGTATTTGCTTCTCCTCTATGCATTATTGTGAGTTATATACTATTTTTTTTTTAACTATTACTTAATACTCAAAAAAAATTATTCCATTTTATTTTTATAAATTCTGAATTAATATTTTTGTTCACCCACTTTACATGCAGAGACACGTAATAAAGACTAAAAGTGTTGCATACATGCCACTTAGTTTGTCCTTCTTTTTGAGCTTGAATGCTATCATGTGGTTCTTCTATGGTTTTCTCATCAAGGACTATTACATTGCTGTAAGATTATTCTATAATCTCACTAAATTAGAAAATCTTTATTGAATTAATTATAAATATTTGCATTAATTTTGATGATGTAGCTTCCAAATACGCTAGGGTTTGTATTCGGTATCGTTCAGATGGTGATGTATTTGATTTATAGAAATTCAACTCAAGTGATGGTATCAGAAAAGTCAATGAAGTTACAAGAACAAAATGGTCATGTTATTGACATTGTGAAGATCGTTGACACGACTCAAGGGGACAATGGTGGTGCTCTGCCTGTATCAACTATTAGTGAGGATCCAAATAATGGGAAATAAGAAAGAGAGTAAGTATATGAATGCAATGTAATCAGAAAAGAAAATGAAGTTTATTTACTTTATGGATATTTTTGTTTCATTAATGTATGTTCATGAGTGAGTAATTATGTAATTTTAATGAGGAGTGGTACTTGTACTTTTAATATATGATATTTATTTTTGGTTGTGAGGTGATAAAAATTGATTTTGAATGAATTGTATTTAAAAAATGTTTATATATAAAGTGAGATGAATATAAAATCATTTATTTTGAGATACATTTGCATAAAAGTAACCCATTCAATCAATATAAAAGAATCAATAGTGTTTATGGTTTCAACTCCAAATCAAAATAACTAAAACTATTTCATAGGCTTATAAATAATGTAGGAGGCATATTGTTGGACTACAAAGTTAATTTAAATAATTAGACCAATAAATTGTGATTTTGATTTTGAGTTTAATGAATATGCATTAATTGTATACTATCATATAATAAATTATTTTACACTGTTATTTAATAAATTATTTTACACTGTTAATATATATTTTCAATTTAAGTGGTATTGTTTAAAACATATTTTAGAAAGGTGTAGAAGTTAATTAATAGTATAAAGGTATGGTATACATATATGTAGTAGAGACAAGTGTATAGAATATTTTCATTGAGGTATTTAAAATAAATTATGATAAATTGATGACTTGGAAGAGTATACATAAGTACAAAGTATGATAAATTTTAAATTCAATACTACAATTGTTTTGTTTTTTTTTTTTTCTATTATAATTCATGTAGATTTTTCAAGAATATAATGGAAGAGAAGATTAACTATGTGAAAGAAAATGACGAGGAGTTTGAAATGGTGATACTAGAGGAGGAAAATATTGAAGGAAGCCAAGAAGATATATGATACCTTGACATTTGTGTAAGCAACCATATGTGTGAAAAACATGAGCATGTTTATCGAACTTAATGAACCAATAAGTGTCAATGTCTCATGTGGAGATATGATTCCAAAATTATGATTAATGGAAATGGTCATATTTTAATTATTTAGAAAGATGGAATATGTCAATCATGATCCAAATAAGAACAACTTTTAGAAAAAAAGTTGTGAATATTCACATGCAACAATTAAGTCTCCATCAAATAGGGGAAATAATAAGTATAAAGTGGTCTAGTTATATATGTCTACAACATCAAAGCATATGCATTAAGTCAAGGGAATAATTCTCAAGGTCTCACAATAACATTAAAGCACATGCATTACTTGACAAATGATTTTAGCAATGTTGATGAGGGAGCAGGTGGTGACACAGTGGAGCAATATTAACCTTCCTTTGTTGACTGTATTACTATGGGTTGTCGGTGTTAAAGAGTGCTTTAGAAATTTGTATCATACCTTTGGAATGGGCTTCAAGTTCATACGTAGTACAGTCTTCTTAGTAGATTTGGAATTCTCTAGCCAAGTTGTCACAGGGAGGCAAAGAGATTCTTTGATCACGTCTAGGTCATAATCATCAACATTTTAAAAGAGTGTGTGAGACATTGGATCGAACTCTAGTATGGTCGAAGTCTGTTCGCGAGTAATGCGTGTTGTAGTCGAAGTTTGTTATAACATGCATTAGTCAATATTGCTAGGGTTGTTAGCATGTTGAATTGAGTCTTACTTGTAAGCCCAATTGTTTAAGTTAGCTTGTACCCTAAGTTGGCTTGTAATGGGTAATTGTTAAAAAGCTCATTAGGTTAGTGTGCTATTTTTCTTATAAATAGGATGCTAGTTTCTCAATCTTGGCATAAGGAAAAATAGGAAGATAAAATCCTAATTTCAAGGGAGAGAGGTTATTTTGTTATTCTTGTATACTTGTAATCTTGTTCTAAGAGAAAGGAAAGAATAGCAGTTTAATAACCAACCCTTGTTGTTCCTTGTTGTTTTACCTTGTCTTCTTTGTTAACCCTAACCCTTGTGAGTTTCTTGATCATTAAGAAACCGTTTATACTTTGTTTAAAGGTATCTGATTCACAACAAATTGGTGCGGTGAGCGTGGAGAAGATGCCTTCAACAAAGTATGAGATTGAAAAGTTCACCGGAGTGAACGACTTCGGTCTGTGGCGCTTGAAGATGAAAGCCCTATTGGTTCAGCAGGGTTGTTTGGAAGCGTTGAAGGGTGAGACAGCCATGGACGCTGCGTTAACGGCAAAAGAAAAGACGGGCATGATCGAGAAAGCCCACAGCGCAATATTGTTGAGTCTTGGTGATAAAGTTCTTCGACAGGTATCAAAGGAGACTACAGCATCGGGATTATGGGTGAAACTTGAAAGTTTGTACATGACCAAATCTATGGTGAATCGACTATACCTGAAGCAAGCTTTATATTCATTCAAGATGAGTGAAGACAAAGTGTTGGCTGAGCAGTTGGGTATGTTCAACAAGCTGATTCTTGATCTTGAATATATTGATGTGAAGATCGATGATGAAGATCAACCACTGTTGCTGCTGTGTGCTTTGCCCAGAACACATGCTCACTTCAAAGAAACTCTCTTGTATGGAAGGGAGTCCCTGACCTTTGAAAAAGTTCAATCAGCCTTGTATTCTAAGGGCTTGAACGAACGAAAGGAGCATAAACCTTCGACGGTGAGCGAAGGTTTGGCCGTTAAGGGAAAATTCTTGCGAAAGGATGGTAAGTTCGACAAGAAGAAAGGTAAAAGTCAACAGAAGTCTTATAGTGGCGAAACATCTAGTATTCGATGTTATCACTGTAAGAAGGAGGGTCACATAAGAAAGGTGTGCCCTGAACGCCTGAAAGATCATGGAGGTAATGGCAATGCAGCCATTGTTCAAGATGACTTCGACTCATCTGATGTTCTTGTGGTTTCAAGTGGCGACTCGAGGAAAGAGTGGATTATGGATTCAGGTTGCACTTGGCACATGACTCCAAACAGAGAATTGTTCGAGGAGCTATGTGATCAAGATGGTGGATCTGTGCTGCTAGGAAACAACAAATCTTGCAAAAATTTAGGTATTGGATCTGTGAGATTCAAGCTCCATGATGAGTCAATAAGGTTATTGACTGAAGTCAGATACGTACCTGACTTGAAGAGAAATTTGATTTCTCTTGCTGAATTCGACAAAAAAGGATATGTTTTTCAAGGAGAGAAAAGTATCCTAAGAGTCATGAAGGGGTCGAAGGAAGTCTTGAGAGGCGTGAAGAAACAAGGCTTGTATACCCTTGAGGCTGAGGTTGTAAGTGGTTCGACAAATGTTGCATCCACGAAATCTATGTCGAAGACAGAATTATGGCACATGAGATTGGGCCATGTCAGCGAAAGAGGCCTGGTCGAATTGGGGAAGCAGAACCTGCTAGGAGGTGACAAAGTCGAAAAGTTGGAATTTTGTGAATCTTGTGTATTTGGTAAATCCTATAGGGCGAAGTTTAACAAAGGCAAGCAAAGAACACATGGATCCCTGGATTACATTCATGCTGATCTTTGGGGGCCTGCAAGGAATCCTTCACACTCAGGTGCAAGGTATTTTCTATCCATCGTTGATGACTATTCCAGAAAACTATGGGTATTCATTCAGAAGACGAAGGATGAAACTTTTGAGAATTTTAAAAGTTGGAAGATTCTAGTCGAAACTCAGACTGGAAGAAAGGTTAAGAGGTTGAGAACCGACAATGGCCTTGAATTCTGCAACGAAGCTTTCGACAGTTACTGTGTTGGGTCTGGGATTGCAAGGCATAAGATTGTAGCAGGTACTCCTCAACAAAATGGCTTAGCTGAGAGATTCAATCGAACAATCCTTGAAAGGGTTAGATGCATGTTGGTTAGTGCTGGATTGAAGAACGTGTTTTGGGCGGAAGCTGTTTCGACAGCAGCTTACCTGATAAATAGATGTCCCTCGACTGCCTTGGGAATGAAGACACCTGAAGAATTTTGGTCGGGACAGCCACCTAGTCTCGACAGACTGAGAGTATTTGGCTGTGTGGCCTATGCTCATATTAGGCAAGACAAGGTCGAACCTAGAACTCTGAAGTGCATGTTCATGGGATACCCTGAAGGAGTCAAAGCTTATAGGCTATGGTGCCTAGAGCCAGGTCACAGAAGGTGTATCACCAGTCGAGATGTAGTTTTCAATGAAGCAGTGATGGCTTTCAAGAAAACTGATTATGCTGACGAAGAGCTGGAACAGGGAGAGATTCCTGTTGAGGTGGAGCATGTTGATGCTGAATTGCTTACCCCAGATGAAGTCGAAAAAGACGCAGAAGATGCTGTCGAAGATGAGGAGATTGATAATGACTACCTGCTAGCAAGAGACAGGTTGAGGAGAGTCATCAACACACCTCAGAGACTTGGGTATGCAGATCTTATAGCTTATGCCTTAATCTCTGCAAGTGAGGTTCTAGACGAAGAACCTAGAGACTATAAGGAAGTTATGAGGAATCAAAAGAAGACAAATTGGTCTTTGATGTATGCTATGGTCTGTACTAGACCCGACATAGCATATGCAGTAAGTCTTGTAAGCAGGTACATGGCGAATCCTGGAAAGGCTCACTGGCAAGCATTGAAGTGGATTTTAAGGTACATAAATGGGTCTCTGAATAGAGTCCTAATTTATGGTGGAGCCTTGGGTGAAGATAATAAAGCAGTAATCGAAGGATATGTCGACTCTGATTATGCAGGTTGTATGGATTCTAGAAAATCTATCTCTGGATATGTGTTCACTATGTTTGGGACAGCAATCAGTTGGAAAGCAACACTTCAGAAGTTCGTTGCCTTGTCAACCACTGAAGCGGAGTATATTGCTCTAACTGAAGCTGTGAAGGAAGCAGTGTGGCTTGAAGGTTTTGCAAAGGAGCTAAAACTTCAAGGTCGAGTTATCACTGTTAAATGTGATAGTCAAAGTGCAATACATTTGTCGAAGAATTCAGCCTATCATGAGCGAACCAAGCACATTGATGTGAGGCTGCATTTCATCATAGGGGTAATCGAGCGTGGAGAAGTCCAAGTGCTGAAAGTT